TGGGAGCACACTGACCCCCAGGGGGCAGCTCCTGCATTGAGTGTCTGCCCCCTGGTGGTCAGTGTGTGTCATAGTGACCAGCCATTCCCAGTCATTCTGCTGTTAGGGTCAGTTTGCATATCGCCCTTTTACTATATAGGATGCCTTCTAGAACCATCCGCTGAGTTCTCAGAGAGAATCCCCAAACCAGAAGCTTTTAGACTCCGGATTGAGTCAGGTCCTTGGGGAGAAGCCCTGGGGCCCGGGGCGCAGGGCGGGGGCTCACCTGAGCGGCTCCTCCTCCCACTCCCCGTCCAGGTACTTCCTGTAGGTGGCGTTGAAGACGGCGGTGTGCTGCTCCCACTGACTGTCCTTGATGATGTGGTTCTGGCCCGAGCCCAGCCCGTAGCAGCCCTCCATCTTTGCAAACACTTCCAGGGGGCTCTTAAATAGGCTCCCTGCGTGCGACACAGTCCAGAGTCGGCTAGACCATCCGGCTCCCGCTTCCTGAGGCCCCCCTCCTTCCCCCACGCTCCCCAGCTCCCTGCAGAATCCGCCTCCTCAGAAACCCAGTCCCGCCTGCAACCCTCTGTCCGTCCGTCTGTCCGTCCGTCCGCGAGCCCAGGCGCTGTCTTTCCCGCGCCTCTCTGCTACCCCCTGCGCTCAGGGAGCACGGGCCACGAGCTGCAGCTCTTTCTGCTTCCGCGTCTCCCTCCCACCGCAGGTCCTCACCCCGGGTTACAGCATCTCCAGGGGATGTTCCCCACGTCACCAGAGACCTGAGGGCACGGTCGCTGCCCCACCAGCGCAGCAGGCAGTCCTGTCTCTTCCTCTGTTTAGTTTCCTGCAACTACCTTCCTTTCAAGGCTGCCTCCCTCTGTCAGTCACTGTCTCCAGCACTCCCCTTCCCATAACCTTTCGTTTCCTGCCCGTCATCTGTCCCTAAGCCCCCAGGAAAACCGGGCGATGTCGTTTCTGGGTCCGCACCCCCAACTATCAGAACTCGGGACTCTTTGGCACGTGCCCAGGCCCCTCAAATTGCCTGCCAGGTCCCATGGGGGCCCGGATGCCCCTCCCCAGGGCAGCCACTGGTATCAGTGTGCTGTGTAGCTCTCTACAGCAGGCTCCTCATTGATAAACTCACGGTAGCATATTCCATCCATGGATGGTCTAACCGGTTCGTTATACATCGTTTCGCTTCCATGTGGAGAACCTACTGCTGACCATACTGATGAATGAACTAACATGGGGTGTAGCAATGAATGAACTCCAGCACTAGCCAGTTTGGCTCAGTGGATAGAGCGTCGGCCTGTGGACTGAAGGGTCCTGGGTTCAATTCCAGTCAAGGGCACTTGCCTGGGTTACAGGCTGGATCCCAAGTAGGGGATGTGCAGGAGGCGGCCGATCAGTGATTCTCTCTCATCATTGATGTTTCTCTCTCTCTCTCCCTCTCCCTTCCTCTCTGAAATCAGTAAAAATATATTTAAAAAACAAACACACAAACAAAAAAGACAGGACAAGTCAATTAATATGTTTGGATTCTGATTCAAACAAACCGATGTAAAAAAAAGAAAAAAACAACCTTAAAAAAAATTTTTTTTTTAAATGAATGAATTCCTATCAGCACCAGGAAAGACCTCTCTCTTTCATGGTCTCCCCATTCTGTTACTTAACAGTATTTCCGTGACATTTATAACGTGTGTCTTTAGGTCCCAGAGTTCATCACTTAAAGAACATTTTCTCTCCAGAACTGTACTTGTGATTTAGATATTGCTGCCAATAAATAGAAAAGATGGGAAAGGTGGGAAAAGGCCACAAAAAGAAAAACAATGCAAAATCAATGGCCAAAGGAGAGTATTAGTGGAATCATACTGGCCTGTGATGGGTTTGGGTGGCTTGATCTTCATGACCTGGACTGGAATACTCAACTTAATCTCTGCCAGATAACAGGTGCTGCCATCCTACGATAAGGAAAAGGCACAGCTAGTAAGACCCCAGAGAAGGGGGGGAAAAAAACCCACCAGAATAATTCCAAAGATGGCAGGCAAAGAGGGAAAAGGAAGAAAAACAGGTAGGACAATAGAGAGTCAATAGCAAAGTGCTAGACTTAAACCCACACCTGGCCATGGCTCAGTGGTTGAGCGTGGACCCATGAACCAGGAGGTCACGGTTCGATTCCCGGTCGGGGCACATGCCCAGGGTTGCGGGCTGGATCCACAGAGTGGGGCGTGCAGGAGGCAGTCGATCCGTGATTCTCTCTCATTGATGTTTCTATCTTGCTCCCTCTCTCCCTTTCAGAGAGGCACCTGCACTGCCTCTCTGAAATCAATGCAAATACTTTTAAAAATAAAAAATACCTGCATTTCTGTATACGGAGAACAAGCTGTTTATATCAGAGTCTGGGAGATTCAGGGGAATGCACGGCATGAAAGGGTTACATCAGCCCCGAAGGGAAGAGAAATTGCCTGGGAGGCAAGAGGAAAGGCCCCCAGAGAAATGCCTGGGAGTCCTCTGCCCGTTAGTGTCTGGTTTGAACCGGAGCGAATCGGTTGGGAGACGTGGCCAGGGCGCCTGGCCTCCCTCCCACCCCCATTCATCTCTGCGTCCCCAGGAGGGCTCATCTGGATGCAGGGCCAGGGGCCGTCCCCAGGAGGGCTCATCTGGATGCAGGGCCAGGGGTGGGAGAAACGCCACGGTTAAGGCGGGCTTCCTACCGCTTGGAGCTGTTTGGTTTTTTTCTTTGGGTTCACAGCCAGTTGGGGGTGTTCCACTTCCTTGACCCAGGCCTCCTTGGGCAACTTGTACACGTCCAGCCAAGTATCTCCAGCCCCTGCGTTGGGAAAGCCGGGGACGGTTGAGCAACACCAGGCCGGCGCCACGTGTCCTCTGAGGACGGCCTGTCTCCTCGGAACCCCTGACATGGAGGCCGGAGGCCGGCAGACACCCCCGAACAGCAGGGTCCTCGCTGCCGGAGGGCTGGGCTGCTCCCCCGAGGCCACCGCACCTGCACTGCCCCAGCAGTTTCTGTTATTGGTTGGTTGATTGGTTTCAGAGAGGAAGGGAGAGGGAGAGAGAGAAACATCAATGATGAGAGAGAATCATGGATCGGCTGCCTCCTGCACGTCTCCTACTGGGGATCGAGCCCACAACCCGGGCATGTGCCCTTGACCGGAATCGAACCGTGACCCTTCCGTCCACAGGCTGACGCTCTAACCACTGAGCACACCGGCTAGGGTGAACCCTAACAGTTTCTAACCAGACTCTGCTGGGCCCGTTCCCAGGTCTTCCCCAATAGCAAACCCCACTGACATCGTGTCTCAGCGATTCCTCTCTGGGGAGGAAGGCGGCTCGTATGGAACCAGCACCGGACAGGGCGAGGCTGAGAAGGGGTTACAACTGGGAGTGATGCCCCAAGAGAATCCTTCTGACCAATATTGGGGCAGATGACAACCTGGGGGGGGGACTTCGTCTTGTCATAGAAATGTGCTCAGCTCTGTACCGAGTACCTGCCCATCGGGGGAGGGGCTGCTTTCTCGTGGGATGGGTTCCTGGCTAAAGGTTTCCTTCACAAAGTGCTTGTCACCCTGGCCGGTGTGGCTCAGTGGATAGAGCAAAGTCCTGCGGACTGAAGGGTCCCGGGTTCGGTTCCGGTCAAGGGCACGTACCTAGGTTGCAGGCTCCATCCCTGGCCTTGGTCCGGGTGCATGCGGGAGGCAACCAATAAACGTGTCTCTCTCACATCGGTGTTTCTCTCTGTCTCTCCTCCCTTCCACTCTCTCTAAAAAGTCAATGGAGCCCTAACGGGTTTGGCTCAGTGGATAGAGCGTCGGCCTGCGGACTGAAGGGTCCCAGGTTCGATTCCGGTCAAGGGCATGTACCTTGTGTAAGAGTTGTAGTTCCCCACACATGTATGTATCATTCATCTTGATGTTTTGTTTGTTTATATTTGTTTGTTTTCATTGTGTGTGTTTTTGTTTTTGTTTTTGCTCAAGTTCTTTCCTCTGCCTGGAATGGTCTTCCTTCCAAACACAACTGCAGCATCAACTCTTTTCACCTAAAGCCTCAGTGTGATTAGAAAGTATCCCTTTTCTGGGTTCCAAAAACATACTTCACTTACCCCAATTATGTCCATCATCACTTACCACATCAGTTCACGATTATCTCTTAATCTATTTCTTTCTCTGGCATACAGGAAATAGTTAATGCTTGCTTATTTGAGTAAACTTGGCTAATTTCAAGAATAGACAACTCTGCTCTAGCTGGTTTGGCTCAGTGGATAGAGAATCAGCCTGCAGACGTAAGGGTCCTGGATTCAGTTCAGTCAAGGGCACATGCCCAGGTTGTGGGCTCGATCCCCAGTGGGGGTTGTGCAGGAGGCAGTCGATCAGTGATTCTCTCTCATCGTTGATGTTTCTATCTCTCTCTCCCTCTCCTTCCCTCTCCGAAATCAATAAAAATATATAAAAAATAAATTAATAAAAAATAAAATAGAGGCCCATAAATCATATGTCTAAATATTCAAAAGTTAAAAAAATCAAGCTAACAGTCCATTTGGAAGGAAAAAAAAAGTCCACCACCATAGTAATAATTGCAACATTGCTTAAATCGGTGGGCAAAACTTTAAGAAGAAACAGGGTATTTGTAGAATCTCAAAGTATCTCCCCCAAGTGTTTTTCGATGACTGTGGCAGTTTCAGCATTCAGCCGGAAATTCTTTGGCCCTGCTCTCTCTCCCCTTCAGTGTGCTCTGGACTTGGTGGCTCCCTTCTGACAGAGTTCGCACAGGGCAACACAGTGGCTCAGCCGATGGCGGGGGGAGGGGGGGGCGCCTGGCAGATGCCACTTTAACTAAATGTCAAGGTTAACATGGGCAGCAGAGAGTCACGTTGCTGTCACACTGGCCCTGGTCCTGGTTCGATGCAGGGAAAAAGCCCTTCACCTCTGCGTATCTTCCCCCAAATCCTTAACCCCAGTGGAACCACGAGAAACACTCAGACCATGAAATTGAGGGACGTTGCACAAAACCTCTGACCGGTGCTCTTCAGAAATGTCAAGGTCACGGAAAACAAGGAGAGACCAAGAACTGTCAGTCAGGAATAGACCAAGGAGAGGTGAGACTGGATGCAATGTGGTTTCCTGACCCTCAGAGTAAAAAAAATTAGATTCGTGGGAAAACTGGTGAAATTGCGTGTGTGTGTGGGGGGGGGTATGTAATTAGCTGTATTATACCCCCTGGCCGGTGTGGCTCAGTGGTTGAGCATCTACCTATGAACCAGGAGGTCACGGTTCGATTCCCGGTCAGGGCACATGCCCAAGTTGCAGGCTTGATCCCCAGTGCAGGGTGTGCAGGAGGCAACCAATCAATGATTCTCTCTCATCATTGATGTTTCTCTCTCTCTCTCTCCCTCTCCTTTCCTCTCTGAAATCAATTAAGTAATATTTTAAAAAATAGTATTATAGCTCTAGCTGGTTTGGCTCAGTGGATAGCGCATCGGCCTGCGAACTGAGGGGTCCCAGGTTCAATTCCAATCAAGGGCACATGCCTGGGGTGCAGCCTCGATCCCTGGTAGGGAGCATGCAGGAGGCAGCCAGGCAACAATGATTCTCTCTCATCACTGATGTTTCTATCTCTCTCTCCCTCTCCCTTCCTCTCTGAAATCAATAAAAATATGTGTGGTTTGTTTTTTTTAAAAAAAGGAAAAGCAATTCAGTGTTACAAAGGATATTACCTTTAAAAAAATCGTATTGTACCCATGTTATTGGCTCCCTAGTAAGTTTGACAAGTGCCTGGGGGAGCTGGGTGGAGGGTATGAGGACTCTGCCCGGCCCCTGCAGTTGTGAAGAGTCCTCGAGGGGAACGGGGATTCTCTAGGAGGGACTGCAGACCCGGGCTCTCCTCACGGCCCCCGTGAGCCTTGCCTTGTAGGAGGAAGGCTGCGAAGTCCCCTCCGTGAGAAATGTCCATCTTCAGGCAGATGGTTTGCTTGTTGGTGTCATCCTGAAACGGAGAGAGGGGCTGCTAGAGCCAGGCTGCCCGCTGACCGAGAGGGGGCCTGCGGGGGCTGGCGTGTTCCCACCGCGTTCACAGAAACCCTTCCAAGCTGGGGGCGCGGAGAGATGCCTCTCTGTGGACACGTGTTTGTATTTCTCTCGGGTCAAAGCCTAGCAATGCCACTGATGAGCGATCGGTTCAACTTGATATCTCAGATGCTTCCCAGTCTGTCTGTGGATTTTTTGTTTTCTTTTTTTTTTTTTAATATATTTTTATTGGGTGTGTCCGGCCGTCTCACTCAGTCCTGATCGGCTGGACCTCAGCAGCAAATTAACCTACTGGTCAGAGTGTCTTCCCCCTGGTGGTCAGTGCACGTCATAGCGACTGGTTGACCAGTCGACTCTCTGCCCCCTGGTGGTCAGTCAGTGTACATCATAGCAAGCGGTTGAGCAGCCTTAGCATATCATTAGGATATTACGCTTTGATTGGTTGAACGGATGACTGGACGCTTAGCATATTAGGCTTTTATTACATGGGATACTTCCTTTACCCTGGGCCCATCAGTAACATTTTGTACAAGATAAACTGCAATTAGAAATCTACCCTGAGCAATATCGTCTCTTTTGAGGACTCATTCATCTTAAAAAATAAAAGCCCACGCCGAAACCGGTTTGGCTCAGTGGATAGAGCGTCGGCCTGCGGACTGAAAGGTCCCGGGTTCAATTCCGGTCAAGGGCATGTACCTGGGTTGCGGGCACATCTCCAGTGGGAGGTGTGCAGGAGGCAGCTGATCGATGTCTCTCTCTCATCGATGAATATATGGTGACGGGAGAAGATTTGACTTTGGGTGGTGGGCACGTGTTGCAATATTCAGATCTGGTAACAGAGAAACCCACACCTGGAACCTATATGTTTATGCTGGCCAATGAATAAAATATATTTTTAATAAAAATAAATAAATAAATAAATAAATAAATAAATAAATAAAAGCCCACATTCTGAGAACCTACAGCAACATGCAGGCAGTGTGTGGGAACGAGGGACACACAGGTAAGATGTGCCCCTGTCCTCAGGAGGCCTACATCCCAGGGAAGAAGCCATCATGTAAACAAGCAAGGATGCCGGGGGAGAGAATGCGAAGGAAATTGTGTTCTGTACGGTGTTGGCACAGAGAGGGAGAGTATGTTAGAGAGCTGGCCTGGAGGCACGGGGGAAATTTAAGAGGCACGCACAGTGGGTAGGGAGGCAGGGAGAGTCCTCCAAGCACAGGGAACAGCATGGGCCGGGGAACAGGATGTGAGGCGGCCCGGAAGTTTTAGGGACTCGTAAGGAGTTATCGGATATGTTGGGCTGGTGCTCAGCCTGGCCTGGAGTTCCTTCGTAATTCTCTCCTCTCAACCACATGGTAATAAGTCCAAGGTATTCAGCTCCCACCTCTGGTGGTTGGGGAACCTTTTAATTGACTACTTTGGAGAAGGCTGTTGGACCAGGGAGGGGTCTCTTTCTTACTATTCTAAGACAACTGTCATTGCCTCCACCTTTAATTTAATTTAATTTCTTGTTAATCCTCATCCAAGGATATTTTTTCCATTGATTTTTTAAAATATATTTCATTGATTTTTTACAGAGAGGAAGGGAGAGAGATAGAGAGTTAGAAACATCGATCAGCTGCCTCCTGCACACCCCCTTCTGGGGATGTGCTCGCAACCAAGGTACATGCCCTTGACCGGAATCGAACCTGGGACCCCTCAGTCCGCAGGCCGACGCTCTATCCACTGAGCCAAACCGGTTAGGGCATTTCCCATTGATTTTAAGAGAGAGTGGAAGAGAGGGGGAGAGACACACAGAGAGAAACATTGATGCGAGAGAGACAAATCGATGGGTTGCCTCTTGCACGTGCTCCCACCGAAGCCAGGGATTGATTCTGCAACTGAGGTGCGTGCCCTGGACCGGAATCAAACCTATGACTCTTCCTCCATTCCACAGGCTGGTGTTCTGACCACTGAGCAAACTGGCTAGGGCTTAGTAGAGTTTTACAAGTTTTATTTATTGATTTTTTTCAGAGCGAGAGAGGAAAGGAGAGAGAACCATCGCTTTGGTCCCACTTAGGTATGCATTCTTTGGCTGTTTCTTGTACGTGCCCTGATCGGGGATCGCACCCTCAACCTTGGTGAGTCGCCCGGCGCTCTAACTGAGCTACTCGGCCAGGGCCTGGCCTCCATGTTAAGAGTGAACCTGATTAGCCGAAACCGGTTTGGCTCAGTGGATAGAGCGTCAGCCTGCGGACTGAAAGGTCCCAGGTTCGATTCCGGTCAAGGGCATGAAGAGTGAACCTGATTGGCTACAGCGCGCGGCCCCGCTCTAGGAACTTACCACTTCATTGATGGTTTTGATGAAGAAGAGACCGTCCTTACAGAGATAAAACAGTCTAACGACCCCTGAAACGGAAAAGTGAGTAAGAATGTAACAGACTAGTGACCTGTCACTTTCTCTCGGACTTCCTGAGATGGGCGTCAGCAGCTCCTGCACGCTCGGGCCTCCTCCAGTCCCTCCCCGGCTGTGGGATCTGGGTCTCCCTGCTTTCCTCCACCGGCACCTGCCCACCCCAGCCCGTCCCCTTCTCCTAGGAGCCTCCCATGGGCCCTCTGGCCATGCCGGTCCCCTCTCCTTGACTCCTGTCCCCTGTGCTAGTCATCATCCCATACTGCCTCACCTGGTTACCCACCTGTGTAATATTTTTCCATTGATTCTTAGAGCAAGTAGAAGGGAGAGGGAAAGACAGAGAGAAATACTCATGAGAGAGAAACACATCGATTGCTTGCCTCCTGCACGCTCTCCAACCAGGGCCTGGGCCTGGGAAGGGCCTGCAACCGAGGTTCGTGCCCTTGACCGGAATCGAATCTGGGACCCTTCAGTCTGCAGGCCGACGCTCTATCCACTGAGCCACACCGGCCAGGGCTTCCTTTTCATTTTTAAAGCTTTGGCCGACGCACTAATATTGGACTTAGAGAAAATTTGCGAAAATAGAACAAAGAATTCTCTGATGTCCCTCACCTCACTTCCCCTGGTGTTAGCATCGCATGTAACCACAGTGCCGTCTTCCTCATCATGTGCACGGCCCCTGCCCTGGTCCAGGCCATCGTTTCTCCCCTCAGGGCACACAGGGGTTCTTTCTCGTCTCTCTGCCTCTTGTCCGGCTTCTGCAGACGCCTACCAGTGCGCCCTTCCTAACCTGTCCACCAGGCCCAGCCACCCTCAGAGACAGGCCCCCGGACGCTGTCTGCAGTCCTCTATGCTGCAGTCCCCGTGAGGGCCTGGTTCGTCCTTGGGCCGAGGGGGAGAGCAAGCCCTGGTTTCTGTGAGCGGCAGGATTCCCGAGTGCCTGCGGGGTGTGGACTCCGCGGCCTCCTGCCTGGTTCGAATCCCGCCAGCGCCATTTACTGCCTGTGTTACCTCAGGTGAGTCATTTCACCTTCGCGCCTCGTTGCCTCCTCTGAAAAGTATACTTACCTCCTAGGGCTGTGCTGAGGGTTAAAGGGCCAGTATGTGAAATGTTGGGAGAGTGCCTGGTACACCGTCCATGACCAGGGAGAACTTGCCAATGTCTGGCCCTGCCCACCCCTGGGAAGGAAATGAACAACGGTCTACAGCAAGCATGTCAAACTCGTGGCCCACGGGCCGCATGCAGCCCATAGCAAATATTTTTGTGGGCCAGCCAACATAACAGTGTGAGCAGTTATTTACTGGTACAGCTAGAGGCCCGATGCACGAAATCCATGCACGGGTAGGGTCCCTAGGCCTGGCCAGCAGTCAGGGCTGATAGTGGGGTGACTGGGGGGCCCCCCGCTGGCACCTGCCTTGGCTGGCCTGGGGCCTGCAGGTTGGGGCAGCCTCTGCATTGAGCATCTTCCCCCTGGTGGTCAGTGTGCGTCATAGCAACTGGTCATTCCACTGGTCAATTTGCATATTAGGCTTTTATTATATAGGATTATAAAAGGAAATAAGTCTCCTGTCAGATCCAGAATTACTGACATGCACCGTGGGTCAGTTTTGAAAGTGATCGCTGCAAACAAGACTTCCCCCGAAGTAGGAAAGATGGTAGCAGAGAGGAGATGCCAAGTATCAGGAAGAAAACATGAATTTTATCATTTCTCCTGTGCTTTTTTTTTTTAATACTATACTTTTCGAAATAAACCTACATTTCTATGAAAATGGAAGCTTTTGTGGTTTTTTTTTGCGGCCACATAAACTTAAACCTTGTTTATTGGGCCCGTATTAGCCCTTGAGTTTGACACGCTTGGTCTGCAGGTGCACGTAAATGAGGCTAAAGGAAGATGAAGAACGAGTACCCATTTCATCCACAGGAGCCATCAGCGTTTCATTCCCCAAGTCTGTGGCCCAGATGGACATGACCTCGGCCTTAAATTTCTCGTAAACGTAGATTTGTTTAGCATCGTGCAGGCTGTAGATGGAGAAGCCTTTGGGTCCTGCAATAAACACATAGTCTTGGGAAACCGCTAGGCATCTTGGCCTTTTGCTGAGCTGGGAAAACAAAGAACAAAGAGAGAGAGAGAAAAAAAGGATTTTTCAGCTGCCACTGTCTGCGAGCAACATGTTAACATTTCAAAGAGGGATGTGGGCCCTTCCTAGATAGACTATCTCTCCAAACACAGGCTCATTTCCGTATTGTGCCCACGTATCAAGGAGTCATAGCCGCCCTGGCCGGTTTGGCTCAGTGGATAGAGCGTTGGCCTGCAGACCCAAGGGTCTAATTCTGGTCAAGGGCATGTACCTTGGTTACAGGCTCCTCCCCGGCTGGGCCCTGGCCGGGGCTAGGGCAGGAGGCGACCAATTGACGTGTTTCTCTCACATCGATGTTTCTCTCTGTCTTTCCCTCTCTCTTCCACTCTCCCTAAAAATCAATGGAGAAATATCCTCGGGTGAGGATTAACACACACAAAAAAAGGAAAATGAGAGGAAGCCATAGCACTCCACTTTTAGGGGAGCAGGGCCAAAGAAAACAATGAAGTGGAGAGTAAATGTTTAGTCACTACACTATGTGTGGCCACAGACCCTGTACCACATTCGTCTGTAACATTGTGGCCCGACCAGTGTGGCTCAGTGATTGAGCGTCGACCTATGAACCAGGAGGTCACAGTTTGATTCCCAGTCAGGGCACATGCCCGGGGTTGCGGGATTCATCCCCAGTGTGGGGCGTGGAGGAGGCAGCAATCCATGATTCTCTCTCATCATTGATGCTTCTATCTCTCTCTCCCTCTCCCGTCCTCTCTGAAATCAATAAAAATATATTTTAAAACAAAACCAGAAAACACTGTGGAAAGAGCTATCGCTGAGGCGCTGGCAGATTCTCACCCATCAAGCAAGAGAGTGATGACTACATTCAGAATGATATCAAAATAACAGTGGCTGGACATAAAAGGCCTGCTGTGGCATCCTCCATTAGCCAGAACCCCCGTTTCCACAGACACGGACCAAATCCATTCCAGGCAACACCGGCATGCCTAGAATCTTTAAAAAAAAAAAAAATGCAGCTGTCTTATTGAATGAAGGTTCCTGGTAGGAATTCCTTTCCTGGATGAGGTGTTTTCATTTATTATTTTCTGGAGGCCTGATGCACGAAATTGGTGCAAAGGTAGGCCCTCACAGCCCCGGCTTCATCCGGAAGGTCGTCTGGACAGTCGTCTGGATGGTCGTCCTGCTGTTTGGTCTAATTAGCATATTAGCTCTTTATTATATAGGATATGGAGAGGAAGGGAGAGAGAAAGAGAGAAACATCAATGATGAGAGAATCATTGATCGGCTGCCTCCTGCAGGCCCCACACCGGGGATCGGGCCCACAACCCGGGCGTGTGTCCTACCCGGGAATCAAACCGTGACCTCCTGGTTCATAGGTCGATGTGCAACCACTGGGCCACACCGGCCAGGCCATGTTTTGATTTACTAACACTCACCTGGGAAACAGGGGAGGCCCCTGGTCAGCTTCTCCATACCTTGCTTTCTAAAACTGGAGGGTAGACGGTGGGCCGGACCCGGCTGAGCTCCAACTCCCTCAGCGCGTCCCTCTCCTCGATAATTTCCCACGCCCGGTCGAACAGAAGGTTCACCAGCTTGTTGATCATTCGATACGGCTGAGGCAGGGAATCCAGCTCCTGGTGCGGGTCCTTGAAGACATAACTCTCTTCGTCATCCTTCGACCAGTCCTTCTCCGACGGGGTCGGCACCTCCAGCTGTCCCTTTTGTGTAAACAAAGGCAGCCTCATCTTCTGGGCGCGGCTTCCGTTGAGGGATGACATCACCGAAGGCGGCACTGGGAACGGCTCTGAGACTGAGGAGCTGATGAAAGGAAGGAAGGAAAGGTATTAGAGAAAATAAGGGAAGGTCAGCCCTGGCCGGTTTGGCTCAGTGGATAGAGCGTCGGCCTGCGGACTGAAGGGTCCCAGGTTCAATTCCGGGCAAGGGCACATGCCTGGGTCCAGTAGGGGGCGTGCAGGAGGCAGCCGGTCAATGATTCTCATCATTGATGTTTGTCTCTATCCCTCTCTCTTCCTCTCTAAAATCAATAAAAATATATTTAAAAATATATATATATTTAAAAATAAATAGTGAAGTTCAAACAGTATATCATCTCTAGCACAAGCATAACAGTCTATGGCAGGGGTCCTCACACTTTTTAAACAGGGGGCCAGTTCACTGTCCCTCAGACCGTTGGAGGGCCGGACTATAGTTTTAAAAAAAAACTATGAACAAATTCCTATGCACACTACACATATCTTATTTTGAAGTAAAAAAACAAAATGGGAACAAATACAATATTTGTATTTGCATGTGGCCCGCGGGCCAAAGTTTGAGGACCCCTGGTCTATGGGGACTATTTATTCTAGAAACTGGCACTTCCCACGTTTATTACGGGATGGTTATCACATTACTAAGATACGCTCAGCAGAGGCAGGCCAGCCGAAGATGAGGTGTGCTAGGGTGGAAACACAGGACTCTGGAAACCGTGTTGTGTTTCTTCACCTCCTGATAAAGGAGAGGCGGTCTTTCTATGCCAAAGAGAATTCACCTTCTTTCCCCCCAACTCATGTCTTCTCCTGGTTCTGCCATCTCTGCAAATGGCTGTGCTCCAGCCAGCTGGCTACTGAGCGGTGACTTTTCCCTCTCCTCCCCTCCCCTCCGACCAGGGGCATTTCAAGCACTTCCAGTAACTGCTGTCGAATCTGTGTTGTGCTTAGCTATTTACTTGTGTCCCTCAGTAACCTAATACCTGAGGCCCAGAGCTCAAGTGGTGGGTACATAGCCAGCATTCAGCAAATTCTTATTTTCTTGCGGTAATGCCCTGCCCTGGATTATGAACTTGAATACTTCTGGGTCTGTTCCAGGCACTGCCCTGTGCAAGAAGGGGTAAATTTGTGGGGCCGAGAGGATAGACCACCCCAAAGTCCATATGCCTCCTTCTGGAGTCTAGACCATGTTCAGGGCACCTATACCCCTGAAATTTACTGCCCAAATGGTACCTGCAAGAGCCTCTTCCTGGCTTTTCTCCCCCAGCTGCTAATGTATGCACCCCTAGGCCTGAAAGGTGACCAAGGCATGGCCGATCAAAGGGGTATGGGCAGAACTTGGATGTGGTTTGGGGCATCCACACACTCGGTGATGTGGGTGGGAGCCAGAAATGGGAAGAGAAGCGGTGGGGAGGGACTGGGGCCAGCTCTCCCCAGAGTACAATATTCTGGCTGTGTTTCCAGGTATTCCAAAGAGCCCAAGAATTCTGAATGTGAAATGACTTCTAGATCATTACAAAAGTACTAGAGGCCCAGTGCACGGATTCATGCGTTGGTGGAGTCCCTCAGCCTGGCCTGCGCCCTCTCGCAATCCGGGACCCCTCCGGGGATGTCAGAGAGTCGGTTTCAGCCCAATCCCCGCAGGCCCGATCCAGACAGGAGGGAGCCCAATCTGTGTGTTGAGCACCTGCCCCCTCCCCCCCAATGGTCAGTGCACGTCATAGAGACCAGACAACCGGTCGTTTGGTCGTTCAGTTGCATAGGCTTTTATATATAGAGAGATATTTGTCAAGGTAGGAGAAGAGAACAGAACATATTTAACAATGTGTTACTTTGATTTTGAAGTATGTTACCTATTTGCTTTGTTTAACAATGGACAGGTTATTTTGATTTTCTGAATTATATAAATCATCCCATTCGATTAAGTGCCTTATTGATCGTAATGTGAATATCCCATGGGTTGTGGTCATATTGGTCTTAGAAAGCACATTTTTCCTTCACCTGGGAAGGACAGCACAGTTATCCCAAGGTCAGAGGGCTCTAGACCCAAAACTGTAATTTAGATTACATGCCTAAGTTTAACCCAGGTTCCTCATTCCAGACCCGGGAGCTCTAGATAATGTGTTTCTGTCAATTCAGTGACCCCCGTCCCCCCAGACCCAAAACTATAATTAACATGCTGCTTCTGCAAACTGCTTTTTTGCAAACCAGGTTCCTCATTCCAAACCTTGAGATGTAATCAATACATTTGTGATCTTTGCCTATATAAGTCTGGTTTTGCCACCATCTTATCACTACGAGATTTGGGGAATGGCCCCTCATAGTCCTGGATTGCAATAAATGTGACTCTTTAATTCAACTTCTTGAGGCGTCCTTTTGTGATTCGCGGGGTACATTACAACAATTTAAAACTTTTAAATATTTAAATGTATGGTATGTGGGTCTCTATTTATATTCTACCCCCGGGGCCTGCAAGTGTTAGGGGTAGGTCTGAACAAGGGACCAAAGATTAAAAAAATAGGCGACCTTAACTTGTAATTATAGGGGGGGGGGGGCATTTTATAAAATTGCTGCTGTGGCCCTGGCCAGGTAGCGCAGTTGGTTAGAGCATCATCCAGATACTCCAAGGCTGTGGGTTTGATCCCTGATCAGGGCACATACAAGAGTCAGCCAATAAAGGCATATATGAGTGGAACAACAGGTCCAAGTTGCTCTCTCTTCCTCCCTCTCTTTCTCTAAGATCAATCAATCAATCAAAAATTAAAACATTGCTATGGAATGGCTGGGGTTCCATATCTTCAAGCCCCCGAGGAGGTCCGTTCATTGGTGCAATTTCGTTGTAATCTATTTTTGCCCCCACTTGGTTCCTGGTAACCATTTTAGGATTTCCTCAGGTAGCAATCTTCATTCAGTAATCCTAACAGACAATTCTCCCACTTGACCCGGCCCTCCTGCTAGAAATACACTCCTCCAACCGGCTGATCTCCGCTCTAACCCTGCGCTTCCCAGAGCTGGAGCTGGCGTTGCTCCAGGGACGCGGAGGCACAGATCTGGGAATGTTTAGCCCTGCAGTCCCCAAGCGGAAGCTCAGGGGAACCTCCATTCGGATCCTACCTGGGGTTCCTGGGGGGCGCGGGAATAGCCTGAGACCAGGAGACGGGCCCCTGGGAACCCCTCGAGGAGACCCAGGATGTGAAGGGAGCCCAAGGGGACGTGGGAAGCGCTTGCACCGCGGAGCGGAAGCGGGGCTTTCGCTCACCTGGCCGGCGGCTTGGCGTCGCCTTAGTAACCACAACTTCCGGTCCTGACCGGAAGCTGAGAAGT